CGCGACTTTTTGCGAGAAACGCGACTTACATCGTAATGCAACCCCCATATTCGTCTATTTTAGCTCCGTGCGATTTCTGCCTGATTAGAAAACTCAAGAGGCCAATGCGTGAACGGCGACACGATTGAGTAGATAAAACTAAATCGAAGAAAATCTTGAAGGCTATGCCGGAAAAACAATATTCCGACTGTTTCGAGAACTGGAAAACGCTTTGACAAAAGACCTTCTTATTGAACGGGAGTTCCCTTGAAATGAATGAAATTGCTTTGGAAGAATAAATAAATAATTTACTTTTTATAAACAAGTTCTCCGTACTTTTTGACTATAGTAGTATGGACCAATGTGACTTTGGAGAATTCTGGAAGTTGCTTTCGGCTGTCGATGTTGGTAATTCGTCAAATTTGAAAAACTATGAGAACTCATGAGTTTGTCAGTTTTAGCTATGTTCAGTTGGTCCTTATAATTCTCGCGTCTAAATAGATATACGAGTATATCGTAATTTAAAATACAGGACCCAGAATTTCTTGCAGAATATCTTGTGGGTTTTGGATCGAAATCATCGGATCGGTGAAGAAATGGTGGATCAGCTATCTACAATCTGGGAGCCTGGAGTGACTCTAATTTTAGTTCAGTCAAGTAAAATAGTGAAACGAGGGCTTGAATTTTTCTGTAATTTGCGAAAAGAAGGCATATTCAGTATTGTTAGGTCCACAGGTAGAAATTTTTGGCTTCTTAAATTATTCTTACAGCTCTCACTAAATTAATTATTATTAAGATCTGTGCCTTTATATAGTTAAGAGTGTTTTATACAGAAAACTACATTCAAACTTTCGACTTTGAGTTACTTCGAGAAACAAATTTTAAAAACGTGTATCCATCATTGTATTCAGGAACTAAAGAAAATTAAATAATGCGATTTTGAATATAGGCGTCTTGGCTGTACTCCAACAACTTTAAATGAATTAACGTGAGCATACATTTTTAAGGCTTTAAAAGTAGAATAACTCTCCAACCTCTAGTTTTCTCCTGTAACTAAATTCTTTAAATTTAAACCCACACACTTTTCTTCTACTGTGTAAAATTGCTCCGACTATGTCTGCTCCGGATGGCTTTTGCTTGGGTAAAACATTCAATCATTCATCTTTTTTGCTTTACGCCAACATAAACACTCATACAGAGGAAAGTGTCTGTGCGGTTGCCGCTTTCATTTTTCATCAGTGAAGATAAGTGTCTTCGTATACACTTATTAAACAACAATAATTGCAAATAATGTTATTTTATTTAGACAAGAAATATTACCTTGATACTTTGACTGGAAGGCACAAATACATTCATACACATTTCACCATTTGAAATATATTTAAATTCGAGAAAATATAAATTTCGAACCCTCTGACACTCCCACACAATTACACAAGAGTACTTCACAGACACTTCTGCTTCGATGTCAAGCCATTATTTCGACATTCGTCAAGAATTTGTTTTGTGCATAACAACAAATAAATATATATTATATAAATGTATGCAAAACGGTATTTTCACCGAAGCCAGTTACTGTATTTCTGCTGACTTCACTTGATTCGATTTCAGTTTTCCGGCATAATTTGGGCACAGCTAATGAGTACCCTTATTATAATAGATAGCTAAGGGTATGTATGCGTCAGCATTATTTCGGTGCAAGCGGCATACCATCAGCGCCTGCCAACCAATTCCACAACTGGGAAGCTCACATTTTGACAGACGGCTGCGGTTTAGCTGATGTGCGGCTGCAACTTTCATTAGTGGTTTGTTAAGAGTATCCTTCTCGGTTTGCTATATATTTTGACAATCTAGCCGCAGTGGAGACAATAACATACTCGACGTCACGAAGTGACAGCAGTCACACGCTTTTTCTCGGAGACAATTGTTGTTGGCAAGATGAATTGCTCCACTCAGATTTGGTGTCACATGCGAGCGACAAGTGTGAACATTATTCAGAATTAAGCTAATTTCTTGAGTGCCCTTTGGAGTGGCGTACTTATGACTAAGTTTGTTGGTTTTATACACATACGAGTAACTTACATGTGTCAATATTTTTGTGTTGTCAGATTCGTAATTTTACTAAACAAGTGTCTTGGTGTTGTTTGAAATTGATAAAGTGGTTTAGTTTAGTGTCATTGTGTGAATACATATGCAAGGATGAGTGAAAAACTTCCATAACATTTGCTGACAAAATGAAGTAGATTTCTCTAAAAATAGACGGTTCATGGATATAACTTCTCAAAGCATACTTGCAAAGGTTTGAATCATAAGGCAACGAAATTGGTGAAAGTGAGACAAATGAGGATTTGAAATACTTACATGCATGGTCTATTTGGAGAGACGCGCCTGTTGAATTGATATATTGCGAGCCTTATACTATATTCTTTAAAGATAATTACATCAATTGGGCTTTAAAAAAGTCTTCACATGCTCCAACGAATTTTTTCTCTCCCTAGATCCTAAAAAACAATTTCTGAAGTGAAATTTGACTTGAATGATGAAATAATCACCTGAGACTGAGACCTATTTTGCAGCAGAAGACCAAAGGTTAAATAAAAATTGTTTCAAAAAAGAAGATTGTTATAATCGGTATATAGCCCTCAAAAGCAACTATCTTGATTGGAAAGCGGTCCAGACAGAAAAAACTGAGAAAAGTTGCCGTTCCCTTTATGTGTTAGCTCAACTTTGAAGATAGTGTAATACCTTTTGTGGAATCAAGGCACCAATGGAATTAATACAGGCGGTGCCTTTTAAGGGGAACTGTGCTAATATAATATTTTGATTTATTGGGTCTATAACTATATTCGTGCGGTTTGCCAACATATGACGTACCGAGCATGCGTTGGACACCTAATATCCTTGTGCGTCTTTTTATGTCATTCAATTGGAGCGTAAAAAAAAAATTCACTCAAATATATCGAATTTTGATCCTGAAAGAGTGTTTTGCGGAGAGTTCTTCTTCTTTAGTTTAATATGAAGAAAACAAAACGTCAGTAGAAGATCAGACTAAAATACAAGTCGAAGTGTATGGTGAAAATACTCTTGCTGAGCGAACGTGTCAAAATAGGTTTGATAATTTAAAAGAGGTCATTTTGGCCTGGCATACACAAAAAAAGTTTCAAAATAAGGAACAGGAAGCATTACTCGAACACGATTGTTGCTCAAATGCTAGAAGAGCTCGTAGAATCTCTGGGAGTCACTCAAGCAGACATTTCAAAACGTTTAAAAGCAGGCAAATACACTTAAAAGTAAGGAAATTGGCTGCAATATTAATTTAAGGCTAGAGACTTTAAAAGACGATAGTGTGGCTTGTGAGCCGGTGGGATCAGCGGTCTATGTTCTTCAAAAATTATGCTGCAGAGAATGTAAGCGTCAATGGCGACCGTTATAGCGCCATGATAACCGACTATTTGATGCCTGAAATTGAGGCTCGTGATCTCGGCGATATTTGGTTTCAACAAGACGGCGCCACTTCCCACACATCGAATCAATCAATAGATTTATTGAGAGAACACTTCGGTGAGCAGATAATTTCACGCTTTGGGCCGGTCGATTGGCCACCAAGATCATGTGATATCACACCGTTAGAATTTTTCCTGTGGGGGTATGCAAAGTATAAAGTCTATGTGGACAATCCCGCTTCGATTCAGCCCTTGGAGTGAAACCGCACGTGTGTCATTCGCCAGTTACCAGTCGAAATGAACATCGAAAATTGGACTCAACGTATGGACCATCTGAGACGTAGCCGCGGCCAACATTTGTAAGAGATAATCTTCAAAAAGTAAATGCCAAAAAATGTTCTTTCGAATGATAATATACGTTATCCATTATTTATTTTTTCTCCGTAGAGAAAAAGTAAGAAATAACTAAAGTAGTTTATTTTGTTTATGCTAAGAATCAGGAGGAAATATTATACTCTTCGGAATTTGTACGGAAAATAAATTTCCCGACAAAGAAAAATAACAAATAATTTTGATGTTGTTACTGGTAGTGAGGACGAAAAATTTGCGACCAGATCAGGCTCTATCTATTTTATTACGTTGTGCATTAAAAAGTCATATTTAAAAATCCAAATATTAAAAATTTGCTCACATTCGCCGAAGATGATAATTTTGCAGCCTGCTTCAGATGAGCACAAAGAAGAGACAATATAACGTCAAAATTTAAAGAAATTATTTTCATTCAGGATAGAGTGCTTTCACTTGCTAAACAGACTTGGCTGTTAATGGCCTACATATTGCTTGTAACTACAGGGGCTTGAAATATATGTAAACACTTGAGGAGCATGAAAATTTGGAGATTGTTTACTTGGTTTATTATTTTACTTGAGCTGCTTGAACTGCAAAGTAACAGGAGAGCATGAAATAGTTTTAGCAAGCTAAAATGCCCGTGGAATCTATCTATCATAAGAGGTAAAAATAAACCGCTGATATTTGGGGCAAACAGCGCCATGAAGGGAAAATCATGAATAATGCGGCCTGCGCCAAAAGACACATGTCGAGTAAAGTGAGCGCACATGCAACTGCAAACATCAGAATATAAGTGAAAAGTGCTGCAAAGCGATCGGTTAAAGCCTGAAGCAACAAAATGAAAAACAAAAAATGCTTAAGTGCCAGCTTTTGCAAAAAGCCGAATTCGTTGCTTTTGAGCTAAAGAACAAATAAAGGACTATATTCAGCACTCCAGTGGTTGCACCTACAAAGCCTCACTGCCTTACCGCTAGCACGTTATTATTTATTTTATTTTTATGCCTTTTAATTCTTTAAAACATTCACTTAACTGAACTTTACTCCTGCCAGTTCATTGAATGTGCGACAGGGCGTATGAGTAACCAAACCAAAAAGTATCCGAACTGACACACATGACGTTGGATAAAATATATTGTACGACCATTACATTTAAATGCCACGTGGGCGAAGAAGGCATCGGGGTCGACGTGGGGGGGTGGGGGTTTATGCTAACGCTTTGTATGCACTTACCTGGTGACAGCTCCTCGGTAATGCCCTGAATGGACACGGTTAACAGTGTCAATATGATGGCGGCAACCAGCAGCCATTGTGGTTGGTGTCGTTGATGTCTTTGTGGTTCTGCCTGCGAGCGATGCTGTTGCTCCACTTGTGCGATTGCAGCAGCAGCAACATTTGTTGCAATTGCTTTTGTTGGCGGTGCACTTGCTGCCATTGCTCAGTATGCCGCAAGGCTGCTACGTTAGTTGTTGTAGTTGTTGTTGTTATTATTATATGGCAATGTTCAACAAATGTTTCAACGCTATACACACTACTTATTTTTTACAACAATTTTGCTGTCACTTTATTCACTTTTATTGTTGTTTTGTATACTTTGCGGTACTGTGACACAGGTGTAAGTGTGAATATGTATGTTTATGTGTATGCCAGTGTTTAAGTTCTTTACATTGCAGTTTATTTAGTTTTCTGCAACTTTTTCATTTGTTTGTATTATTTTCGTTGCAACTGTGCAGTTTCACTTTGTCACTTTGCTTTGTTTGTCCTTCGACTTGCCACTCACATTCCCTCTCTTTTCTTATCTTGTTTTTCACCTTTTTAGAACAATTTACACTGCTTTTAATATAGATTGCTCACACTCACAAAAAATAAAAAATCGAAAAATCCGACAAATTTTTCACACAACTACAAATATAACAATTAGGTTTTGCTGTAAATTGCCGCTAAAGTGCTTCGTTGAAGTTTTCAACTTTCAATTTCTTTGTTTCTGCGGCGATTCCGTTTTACGTGCTTCTTGTTTGTCTCCTTTTATTTTAAGTTCTCCCTTTGCACTTTTGTTCTTAAGGGACAATTTGAGCAGTTAGCAGTTGGCACTTGACCTGCTCTGTTACACTCTCAATGTAACACTTTGATGTCGATTGAAATTGCAAATGTATTTTCGTGTTCACCTTTTTAGTTGCTCACTCTAGTTGAATATATGACACTCGAGCGCCTAAAAGTTGGCAGCAGAGAGAAAATAAATTTTAAAATTAATTTTTACGTCAAATATTGAATGGGAATTACAATTTTAATATAATATTTTCAAGCTGCTTATGAAATATTCTGTCATTACAAGAAGTCAGTAAACTCCGGCAGGCAACGCAAGGAAGTATTTATATATTGAATATCTGCCCAGCAATATTATTAAATATCGATTATAATAGTTTAGCTTTAGATAATACAATTTTTAATAAGCATTTATGAATTGCTCCAATTTACTACTTAATTACACCCAAATACATAACAGAGGTACACAACTAGTATTAAATTGTCATTCAATTTGCAGCAATTTTTTTAATCCAGTTTTTTCGTAGGTAGAAGAGCAAGGGTATTCTATCATAGCAAACAAATTTCATCTAGACAAAATAATGAATGAAAAATAAGACCGTCATACATTTTCAGATAGATTCCAAATTGAGAATCAATAACAGAACAAAGCAACTCTGCTTTTAATTCTAATAATATAAAAAAGTGTCTAGTTACACTCTCGCTACATGTTGCTGCAGAGTATATTAGTTTTGTTCACTTAACGGTTGGTTGTATCATCTAAAACTAATTGAGATAGATATAGCGTTATTTATTTATATAAACGATCAGGATGAAGAGAATTAAGATAAATATCTGAATGCATATAGCTGATTTTTTCCCGAATATATCGGTTAATTTGTGAGTTCTAGAATTGAAATTCGGGGAGAATATTTTTGTGATGACAGCATGCCCTTGTACTAAAAATGGGTAAAATAGGGTAGAACTTCCCTTAATCTCCATTAGAACTAATTGCCCGTATTGTACGGACTTATAGTTTAAAAAAAATCAAAGATTTACAAAATGGCAACGCTTTTAAAACAAAGTTAAGTTTTACCCAAAAGTATTGGTCTGGTGAAAAAATTAGTCGGTCGTTGTGTGGATAACTACATACGGCACATGTAGAAACCCTCATAGTGATCGGATCATTTGTTATCGCTCAAGTAAATTTGAAAACATAATTTTGAGCAAAAAGTGTGTAAAGATAAGCAGATTGCTACACTTTAGAGGGTTTTAACTTAAAAAATTTTTTTAACTTCACATTATGTGTGCTACTTAATATGAAACTGGAATAAACAAATCAATTTAAATTAATAAAAAAATCATTTATCAGGGAATAAAAATATCGGTCCTCTCTAAGGATCAAGTGAAGAATGACTTAGTTTCAATAAGTGTATCGGAAGAATGCAAACTGGCGAAGAGAAGAAATGACCGGCGTCCAAAAAACTCGCCGATTTCATTTTAATATAATTCAAATGCATTTGCCTCCTCTATTTTGTGATATTAGAAAAGGAAACCTTCGAAAAATTAGGTAATATTTAGAATAAATATTCTACAATTTAGTTAAAGAATAATATTTTATACAAATTTTAATTTATTTTTTAAATATCCAATCCTTTAGTTTTTGTCTAAAATAATTAAATTGCATTTGTGCAGCCACAACAACACCACACAATCTTGTTTGCAATTCGTTGTTAAGTCAACTCAACACACTTGACAGTCGCAGATAAACCAGAAAACTTTGCTGAGCAGATAAAATACGAAGAATAACAACTCTGCGATGACATTTATAAATAAGGAAAATATTTTCAACCACAAATACAAAAGCTAAGCACACATACTTAAAACGAATCTCATGTGACGGAGGCGAAGCACATTTGAATTTGCATTTTTCTGTTTATCTGACTTGCATTTTGTTATTGCTGCTTATGCATGAAGCCAACACGGATAACTGTAGTTGCATATATATGTGTCTACATGTGTTTTTATAAAAAGCTGACAGCGCTTCATTTACACAATAACAATGGCAAACTGACAGCTGTTTATGGAGCTGTTTCAGGACAGGGATATACTAAAACTGCTGTTTTTTTAATGCGAATTGAATGGAAAAACAAAGGCTGTTATCTGTTATGAAATTAATGTTAAAATATTGTTATAGAGCTTATTATTATAGAGAACAGTTTCAGATGTCACTTAAATTGGAAAACAATAAAGCTGTGACCTATAGTCTCAAATAGGTTTCTCTTAGTGATACATACAGTGGCAAAAAAAATTTGTATTCTCATTTCTAACTATTTTAAGTAAAATTTGAATAATTTATTTCACAAAAATAATCCAAATTGTTCTCAAAATACCGAAAATAACAACCAACCCCCTGAAGTCTCAAAACAATGTCTCATCTTCTACTCAAAACTCAAGTTGTCACGCTTACAATCAGCATGAGACAATATCCCGCACACCGTTAGTCGCATTTTTAATCATTATTGGACACGCAAGTCGTTGGCCATAGACCACCGGCGGATGTCAACCGCATCCATCAAATATTTGGCAAATTGACAGCTTCTCGTCGTGGTCGCAGCTGGAGCACGCTAACGAATTAACAGACTAAATGACAGGTAATGAGAGGAGTTGAAGCGAACGCACCTATTTCGCAGGGCAGCTGGTGTGCGGGATGTCAGTTGCTGGTAGTGGTGGTATATGGTGGGGGAAGGTGCAAAATTCATTAATTATATTTTTATGCCTTCATATTGATAAAGAATTCAACGTTTTTTATATGAGTAAAAATTGCAGGTATAAAAAGTGGTGGTAAATATGAAAGGAGCATAAAAATAAATTAATGATTTTAAGTGCGCGCAAACATCAGACGCAGATAATTGAGAATGAAAATGACGTTTGTAGTGGCCATTAAATAAAATTCTTAATGATATTCGTTTTTGATGTTTGTTTTTTTTTTTTTTTATAAAAGGCAATAATATCTGTATAAAGTTACTTGTGAAAACAAGATTTCGATGATTTCACTATGGTTTATTTATTATAGGCTTGTTCTATTGTTTGATAGCGGTAAAATACTACCCACTAGAGTAACAAGAAACATGAGGTAATAGAATTCAGCAAGATTTCTTTAAAAGTCTGTTTAGATTAGGTTAGATTTCAGGGATGATTCCCACGGCAATGTAAAGAGGCTTTCACTTTAAGAGTTAAAACACCGGTCCTTTTGTGGAACAAAACCTTTGAGGTATGAATTTAGAAGCTCCGATGTAGCCACGAAATGCTTTATATAGCTTCCATCAAGATATAATGGAATTTGAGTTACGTTACCAAGGCCGGAATACTGAAAGCATGATTGGAGACTATATTTGGCACTAATAAGATAAACTTCTTCATAACATGACAGGAAAAGTAAAACTATTCATTTTTAGATATTTGGATTCTATTTTAAAATATTTTTGTTAGAATAAATCCTGTATAAATGATCGATATATTTTAATGAACTATTTGTATTTAAAATTTTTTTTGTGTATTTTTATTAACTTGAATTTTTCTATTTTTTATACATAAAAGCAAACGCAGAAATTTTTTGTATTATTATTCTTATTTTGTGGAATAAAAGCAACAAAAATAAGGTATGTATAACTCGTATTGCGGCAAATACTTTACATAAGTGTCAAGAAAGCACAACAAACTTAATATTTTGAAAATTTTTGTTTATCGCACCGTTGATCGTTTTTAACAAACGTCTACCGTTAGTGAAAAAAACAGAAGTAGTCAAAAAGTTTTGCGAAGGCATTCAAAGAAATCTCCTTAGAAAAGAGAAAATTAAGTCAAGGAAAATGGATATAACAAACAGAGCAATGTCGAGACATATTCGAGGTGATCTCCAAATAAAAGATGATAGGCCAAATAGTAATCTTCTAACAACGCGCTTGAAGTATATTTGACTATGAACATATACTTTTTACAGCTGAAAAAATGTTCACTGTTGAAGAACGTTTTAATAATAAACAGGACAAAATCTACTCAAAAACTTGCAAAGACACCAAAACTATTATTTAAAGTGTTCAACGTGGTGACCGTCATGGTTATACCAATTCACTTCTGTGAAAAAAAGAGTTAAAACTGGAGCAAAAGTGTACCAGCAGATGTTTTAGAAGGCGTGGTAAAGCAGTTAAGCAATCTTCAATAAAGAGCATTGAATCTTTCAGTAAGATTCTGCTCCAGCACACAAGTCAAAAACTGCCCAGCAGTGGCTTAAAAAACAATATTACTGGTTTCATACCTGCGAATGGGCGTCAGATTTGAATCCACTAGTATACAGTTTGTGATTAGAGTTGGTGAACATCGCCTGTAGAATACCCCACAGAAATTGGTAGTTTCTCAAAAAATGTTCGGTTCGAGCGGTGTCATCAATACCTGCCAAACGACTAATATTGTAGATGTTTATGAAAAACTTTTGAAGTAAAATATAAAATTTTAAAATTTTAAAATTTTTAAACTTTTACTTTTTTTGTTCTTCAACAGCTTAGAAGAAATATGGAAAATCGAACTTGATTACCAGACACTCCTACACACTTAGCGACAGTTGACCAAAAAAAATTCATCAGGAATGCATGCTTTATAAATGTACATTTTTCAAACACTCTTGTACTTAAACACAAATAATTTGGTTTCTTGAATAAATAAATAGATAAATACGCAGCAGTAATAGTCAACAAGTGTTTATAAAGGAAATTTACAGCTTCACAGGACAATGAACCGAAGACCAACATATGCATATATAGATATACATATTTACAAATATGTACAAATATTACATACACTTATAAGAGTACAAGTATATGCATAAAGCCTCTTCTCCGACCAATTTTTAAACTTCAAAGTAAATTTGAAAGCTTTTGCTCATTATATTTCATATTTGTACAGCAGCTGTTAAACAGCAACAAAGCTGTCGTTCATTTCCACATACACCCATGCTTACATCGTGAATTTGCTACTTTTTTTCTGTTCTTATAAATTTGAGGCTCCCTTTCAACAACAGCTGTGAACGTTTAAAATTAGGGGAGCTGCGCCTTTGAATTTTCATTTATTTTCTTTTTCTATTTTCGTTCACCTCGTAACGGTTTATTTTGATGCAGACAATTTGACACATTT